AGATCCCTATAGATCCACGAGATCAAGAGAAAACAACATTTACTTGCCCTTATGGAACTTATGCTTATAGGAGAATGCCTTTCGGTCTTTGTATTGCACCGGCCACTTTTCAAAGATGCATGATGCATATTTTCTCTGATCTAATTGAACAGAAAGTGGAAGTGTTTATGGATGATTTTTCCGTATACGGCTCCTCTTTCTCCGATTGTCTTGCTAATCTATCTCAGGTTCTAAAGCGATGTGAGGAGCACAGGCTCGTCTTGAACTGGGAGAAATGCCATTTCATGGTCCAAGAAGGGATTGTCTTGGGGCACAAGGTATCAGAGAAGGGCATAGAGGTGGACAAGGCTAAGATCGAGGTTATGGTGAACCTACAAGCTCCGAACTCAGTAAAAGGAATAAGAAGTTTCCTTGGTCACGCAGGATTCTACAGGAGATTTATCAAAGATTTCTCCAAAATAGCTCGACCCTTGACGAGGTTATTGTGTAAAGAGGTGGAGTTTATCTTTGATGATGAATGTGAAGAAGCGTTTAAGAGAATCAAGGAAGCATTGATCAGTGCACCGGTTGTACAAGCCCCTGATTGGTCATTACCATTCGAAGTGATGACGGATGCATCTGATTATGCCGTGGGGGCTGTCTTGGGGCAAAAGAAAGACAAGAGGCTTCACGTGATCTATTACGCAAGCTGCACCTTGGATTCAGCTCAAGAAAAGTATGCCACCACTGAGAAGGAAATGCTCGCCATTGTGTTTGCATTTGATAAATTCTGGAGCTATCTAGTGGGATCAAAGGTCACGGTCTACACGGATCACGCGGCTTTGAGGTATTTGATGACCAAGAAGGATGCTAAGCCGAGGCTTCTAAGATCGGTTCTGTTACTTCAAGAGTTCGATATGGAGGTGCTTGATAAAAAGGGTATTGAGAATGGAGCTGCCGACCATCTCTTAAGGCTGAGGATTGAAGAACAAGTCCCTATAGACGATGCTTTACCCGAGGAACATCTCATGCTTGTCTGGTCTTACTTAGAAGTGGAGGAAGCCAACACAATCAAAGAGAGAAGCCTCCCATGGTTCGCAGATCTGGTGAACTACTTGTCATGCGGTTTAGAGCCACCTGATCTTGATAATTATCAGAGGAAGAAGTTCTTTAGAGATGTAATGAGATACCATTGGGATGAGCCGTATCTATACGTGCTTAACAAGGATCATCTCTATAGACGATGCTTGGCTGAGGAGGAGATCTATCCAGTGCTACAAGAATGCCACGGTTCGACATATGGTGGTCACTTAGGTGCATTCAAGACGATCGCCAAGGTTTTACAAAGCGGTTTCTGGTGGCCGACCATGTTCAAAGACGCTCAGGATGTAGTCTCGAGATGTGAAGCTTGTCAAAGGCACGGTAACATATCTAAGAGGAATGAAATGCCTCAGAACCCGATTTTTGAAGTAGAGGTCTTCGACTGTTGGGGCATTGACTTCATGGGTCCCTTTGTAAGCTCATACGGGAATCAGTATATACTCGTCGCGGTGGACTATGTGAGCAAGTGGGTTGAAGCGGTTGCATCTCCAACTAATGATTCAAAGGTTGTGGTAAAGCTCTTTAAGAGCATCATTTTCCCAAGATTCGGAGTCCCAAGGGTAGTTATAAGCAACGGAGGAAGCCACTTTATCAATAAGACTCTTGAGAGTCTTCTAAAGAAGCACGGGGTAAAGCACAAGGTGGCCAGCCCTTATCATCCTCAAACTAGTGGCCAAGTGGAGGTCTCAAACCGCCAGATCAAGGCCATTTTGGAGAGAACAGTGAGCTCATCTCGGAAGGATTGGAGCAAGAAACTAGATGATGCTTTGTGGGCTTACAGAACCGCATACAAAACCCCCATTGGAACCTCACCCTTTAACTTGCTCTATGGGAAAAGCTGTCACTTACCGGTTGAGTTGGAATACAAAGCCTTGTGGGCAGTGAAGCTTTTGAAATTTGATATCAAGACAGCTCAGGAAAAGAGAGTTCTACAGCTTCATGAGCTCGAGGAGATCCGTTTAGACGTTTTTGACAGCTCCAAAATATACAAAAAAATGACAAAGGTGCTCCATGACAAGAAGATACACAAGACAGAGTTCAAAGAAGGGGATCAAGTTCTGTTGTTCAACTCAAGACTCAAGCTGTTCCCTGGAAAGCTAAGGTCTAGGTGGTCCGGTCCGTTTACAGTTCTTGAAGTGAGACCGGAATGAAAACGGTGAAGAAAAGGGTCAAAAATGGTGAAAACCGCTTAGAGGAATTTCTCGGCCAAAATGCGTACCGGCTGGACGAAAACCTCGGCCAAAATCCTTACCGAACGGTCGTTATCGGCTAAAAATGGGTATCTGGTGAAAATCCCCTCGGGTGAAGTTTTACGCCGAGGCGATAAGATTTATCGGCTAAAAAGCTTACCGCGGTACATGATTCTCGGACATTTTCCTTACCACGGAAAGCATTTCACGGCCAAAATTTATTTTCACCCGCGCACTTTAAAGATCACCAATCCGGGGAACCTTCCAATCCGAATCAGTTGACGGGGTCTTCATCGAAGTTGGAGATAATCAAGCCAATATCCCAGAACAGTTAGAATCATGCAATTCGGACCAGTGAGAAGAGAGATGTCGCCTCCGGAAGACATGCCTGTCTCGCACGCACCCGAACACCGATCAGCTGAGCTTCAAGGATTACGTGGGACGGAACCCTTCCGATCCGAACCAAGTTTTAGATCTATGAAAGACCTTTCCGGAACACTTGGAGTCACTCAATTCGGACCAGTGGTTTTGAAGATACCGTCTCCGGAGTACACATCGGTCTAAAGACTGTATTTTCCGGTCATTCTAGTGCGGTACAAAGATGAGCAATCCAGGAAGCCTTCCGCCAAGCTCCGATGGTTTCTTCACCAACGTTTGAGCTGAATGAGTCATCTTGACTATGGAACTGGTCTCAAAGCATTTGGAGTCATGTGCTAAAAGTTATTGCTTCCGGAAGACAAGTTGGTTGATATGAGCCTAAATGAGTTGCGATACGCGCTAAGTGTTTCTACAGACCTCGGCATCGCTACCTCGACACTTCTCAGTCCAAGGCTCATATCTTGAAAGCATTTTCGGCTAGACCTCGTACTGATCCCTCGGTATGTTGAGATCAAGGCATGCATGCAAGAGAAGTGAAGCTGAAAACGACTAAGTGTTGAACATGCACCTCGGTACAAAGACCTCGGCATTGCATGCCGGACTCCGTCTTCCTGAACCCCTCGACTTCCAAGCCCCGCGGCATTACATGGCGAGGTCCCTTGTCATAACTCCGGAATCAAGAACAAGGTGACTTAAGATAACAAACGTGAAGATGGATCGAAGATTAGGGTTCATGCATGTTCTTGACGTGTTCTTCACAAGATCTCCATCTTGATCTTTGCTCGTGTGCACCTCTCGGCATCAAGACCTCGACTCCACACTCCGACACACTGTGGTGCTCACCCAACGACCCAAGAAGGCGGCTCAGTACCCGGTTTGTTCCGGGCTGACCCGCAACACTTTCCCTTCGCTATGAATAGATTTTAGGACCAAAAACCTAATCATCTTATCTTTTATCCTCTTTTAGCTTTAAGAACTTGCCTCTTTTGTGAAACTTGATTAATCTAATCCGATATCTCGTTTTTTGCATCAAAATCTTGTTCGTGGTTTATTTCTTTTATTCTCCAGCCTTAAACTCCTTATCATGACTAGCTACACGTCTTGCAAAGGACTTAGTGAGCTCGTTATGATCAATGAGTAGTCGTTTAAGCAGCTTTAGATAGGTAGATTAGGGTGCTTTCATGATAGATTAGTGAGTTTAGGGGTTTAGTCTTGCATGTTTCATTATTTAACCGACGAGATCTCTAAGCTGGATCCAAGCACATCACTTGAGGTTCAGATCTGAGACATATCTCGCATCAAAAGTGTTTGTAGAAATGTCTGAACCACTCGGTTAAAGGTTTAAGAGTCTTTCATCGCAAGAGTGATAGTTTGTTCTCTTAAATGGCTTATTGAACTGAATCTTAAAGCTGACTGATTAATGCTTCTCAAAAGGGATATTGGTATGAAAGAAGATCAGTTTAGATGTTTAATGCTTTCATGAGAAGATTAACATACTTTGAGTTCATGTTAAATAAAACCGCTTGATAAATCTGATTCATTAACTTGCTAGTCTAGCTTGGAGGCACCCGAGTCATATATCCTGTCTAAAGGTTCTGTCTTTATCATATACATTCATCATCCGAATCATCTGCTTATTTACTATTAATCATTTGCATCTTGATCCAGTTTAATCCCCATCTTTTATTTCATTTTCATGTTTATTCGCTTGTTAAGTAGTTTAGCAAAAACTTTTACCTGTCCATCTTGACTTAAGATTACAAGTAACATAGATTAGTATCTCACACACAAGTTTGGATTGATAACCCCTTGTACTACAAGACAGGGGATTGATAACATCTACAAAGAGCCTCAAAAACTCTTAGTTATCAAGTACATAACTAGATGTTAATATAATATCATTGGGAGTGTTTGAAAGCAAGTACTAATTAATGTGCTTCTGTTTTAATATAATAGATAACATAATAGTGTATCCAAAACTCTAAAACCTTCTAATGAGTTATCCACTATATACAAGAGTATCTCACGTCAAGTTTCTAGTGTGTGAATCTGGCAACTTTTGACACTTGTTCAAATTCAGAAGTTGCTAAGTTTCCAAATTATCCACTTTAGACCTTTATTTCTTATTCAAAATAATTTTGATTTAATACTGGAAACCTTAGAGATTCAAGAGAGCTCAACATTGTCGAATTTGAAAAACTACTTGGACAATAATGTTTTCATCTAATTAATGAAAAATTCAAGAAGAAAATGCTGTTCTTATTATCTTTCCCGAAAAATATTTACCACTTATTTGTATCTAAATAACTAAATCCTACTCCTTCCTTTCTACGCTGTAGTACATCTCAACGAACACACAAGGAACAAAAAAAACCAAAAAAAAAAAAGTTTCTTTGGAAATCTTGTTTCGTCCTACACTCTGTCTCAAATTATCAATGTAATTGACAGTACAACGCTAACAAATTAATCCGAAATAGAAGTCCAAATGCATTCAATGGCCTCAAATTCCAACCTATCAGTACTAACCGTTTTCACTGGCCATCTCACTTCACCAATGTCTTCAAACATCTCATTTCCTTCATCAATGACTGGAAAAAGAGATCCTGGTAGACTCCAATCAAGGGAGGTTGAGATCATGCTCTCTTTCATCCACGGAAACTCAAAAACTCCGAAACTCCCCTGCCCACATTTTTCAATACTCCCGCTTGATTTCTTCTCGTCCATCGTGTTTCCCTCAAGATGTGAGTTAATAATGTTGTTGATCACATGTCTTTTTTTGTTCTTTTTCATAAGCGTTTCTATTTTCTTTCTTTTATTGCTTTTAGACGAACCCTCCATCGATAATCAAAAATGCTAGATGATGAGGTTTGGAGTGAATTGAATTTGAATATATAATGGAAAATCATAAGAAGAAGGGATGAGAGGGAGTCACGCCTTCTTACCCGTATGCATCTGTCATTTAGTATTCTAAAAGCAAACCAACCAAATACTTTTGTGTTGTTTCCGTGTCTGCCTTCTTTTACGTTCTCCTTTCTCTCTCTCCCAACCACACAAGCAAGTAATAAACGTTTTGAGATATCAAAGGATGAGTTGGTACATTAAAGAAACAAACGGCTATTTTTAGAGTTCTTTTATTTCACTCACCTCTCATCAAAAAATGCTCATGATCATTTTTGTAGATATACCTAAATTAAAACTGAGCACACATTATTCTTAGGTAATATCAAAATTAATTTATATTACAGTAATTTATGTTTGTTCCATTTACTACAAAAAAAAAAAAGAAATACAAACTGAAATAAGTATTCCAAAAGAAAAACAAAACAAAAAGCCCCTAAAATAGCATAAAATTTTATTTTTGTTCCAAACTTAGTACACAATTTAAATTCTGAAAAATATCACAAATACTAATGTGTAAATACATACTTTACCCTAAATTTATTTGGGGTTAAACGGGACATTACGAGAATGGCTATGGGTAAAAGTTGTTGTTCTGATTTATTTTCATGAATGCTAGGTGTCAAGTTTTTTGGACTTTCAACTAAAACCAATTAGCAATTGATAGATTGGTTTAAATCTTTTTACATATTATTCTAGTCACATCCCTATTTTCGATGTGAGATAATATTCTTCACATTTCCCATCGAGATGATGACTCTTATGATAATTCATCATGAAAGAATTTAAGTATATAATTAATGTTAAGATATATTAATTTGACTAAATTTTGGATTGGACCGAGATAAGTAGTAGAATAATCATACTGATTACATATCTGATCGAGTATTATAGATAGAGAATAGAGTAGCGTGTGTTTGAGTTTAGGGCTGATACCATGTTAAATTTTTTGGGTTTCCAATTTAAAATCAATTAGCAATGAATAGATTGATCTAAATCTCTTATATAGATAACATGGTATCAGAGCAAACAATCTTTATGGAATAAAAAACTTATTATTTCTGCTGAAATTTTCAAGATCTCATTAACCAAAGAGATCATGAGAAACCTGAGTAAAAGAATAGGAAATCTTGTAGGTGTAGAAGAGTGTAACGAAGAGGATGGTGGAGACTGTGACATCCCGATTTCTAGCATATATGAAAAAGGCTTATAAGAATTGATTTGGCTATCTATGTCATTAAAGTGCACTTATCTTTTCCGGTCAAGTGTCTTGGGAGAACTCCCGAGTTAAGCATGCTTATTCTGGAGCAATTTCAGGATAGGTGACCTACCATGAAATAGTCTGCGGTACCGTGTGAGTGAGGACAAAGCGCGGGAAAAGATCATGTGGTCATTGCAGGGACAGTAGACAAGGCTTACGAGCCTCCCTGACTAACGCACCGACCGTCCGACAGTGGTGGGCCCACAGGCCTAGAGAGAGACCAATCGTTGGACAGTGGTGGGCCAACGGGCCTTAGCGAGAAGGTGTTGGGCTCAATGGAAGGGGCGATTGGTGGGCCAACGGGCCTAGAAAGAGGACATTGGGCCCTAGATTCAGGACATCGGGTTCACTGGGAGGGGCGGTTGGGGCGTTCAGAGTTGCTACCCAATCTAGATGAAAGGCAGAATCAGGATCTCATGGATTTGATAGCCGGTCCGTCTGGTTCCCAGAAGAGAAGAAGGGAGCGTGGTCTCACCATTTGGTATCAGAGCCAAGGTTAGTCAACCGACTCTGACCCGGGTGGCGTCTTGGGACGTAGTTAAGTTAGAGAGAATTCGAGGATGAATTTCTTGGAAGTTGAGGAGAATTGTGACATCCTGATTTCTAGTATATATGAAAAAGGCTTATAATAATTGATTAGGCTACCTATGTCATCAAAGTGCACTTATCTTTTCCGGTCAAGTGTCTTGAGAGAACTCCAGAGGTAAGCGTGCTTATGCTGGAGCAATTTTAGGATGGGTGACCTACCGGGAAGTAGTCTACGGTACCGTATGAGTGAGGCCAAAGCACAGAGAAAGAAAATGGTGATTGCAGGGACAGTAGACAAGTTTTACGAGCCTCCCGGACTAACGCACCAACCCTCGGACAGTGGTTGGCCCATAAGCCTAGAGAGAGCCCAATCATCGGACAGTGGTGGGCCAATGGACCTTAGCGAGAAAGTGTTGGGCTCACTAGAAGGGGCGATTGGTGGGCCAACAGGACTAGAAAGAGGACATTGGGCCCTAGATTGAGGACGTCCCTGAATCGGAACTTATAAGGTGGTAAAATGGATAGAGATCTACAAATGAATCGAGAGATTCAAGTACAAAAAAATGGTGGATTGAAAGATCACACAGAAGTTGCGGAATAGATTCTGATTCAACAACTTATCTCCAAGGATATGACACACCAAGTTGAGACAAGAGTGATCAGTTGGTTATTACTCACTATACTATTGGATTGTTCACAAGGAACTAAAGAGAAGTTATCTCAATTTTTCTCTGAAGAAGATAAAAGATTTTGATGGAAAAATGATCATGAAAGATGGTTTTTGAAAATCGAATTATAAAGAAAAAAACTAGCTTGGTCAACAAGTAAACTTAACACAAGTTTGAATGACTCTTAGACTCCTTCTTTGCATAACCCTTAAGCTTCTTGGTCGAAATTGTTGCTGGGCTTGACTCAATAAATCAACAAAATTGGCTGGTGCGTAAGTGAACTCCATTCCCTCATTAAAAACCTTCCTTTGGAACACCTATTGAGACAAAACCAAAATGTAAAAAAAAAAAGAACATAAATGCGTCACTTGTCCATTTGTTGATCAGTCTTGGACCTAAATCAAAACCAAGGTGGTTTGTAATTCATCTTCTCTGTCCTGGCCCAAGTACTTTAGTCATTTTCCAATATGAATAAGTAAAACTCCAATTGACTCCTTGAATTTCTTAGTTCTGGCTCAAGTCGTTGGACCATGTGACACACAAAGTGGCTCAACATCTTCAAGTCCTTTGTCCTCTGGTTCAGGCTCTAAGTCTTTGTTCCCTGATGTGTGTTGTCGTGAGGGTGTCAAGTTTTACCAAAAATGAAATCAATAGCCGCAAGTGCACAGCTGATCGATTGTAGTACTTAGGGATCGAATCCACAGAGAAGGAGGATCTTTTTTGCAAAAGCCTTTGAAAGAAATATAAAGTAAGGAAGTTCAGAACCAGATGATATTTGTAAGGGTTTTTGTGGTGCCTTTAAAACGTAAAAACTAATCTTAACGAGAAAAATACGAGAATTAAAATGACCTAATAACTAAACTTAATGAAAACGACTAAAAACGAAAAAAAGGCTAAACCTAATTGCTTAAATGAAAATCGATTAAGAGAATGAAAATGATGAATTAAAGCTTAAAATAAAATCGATGTAAATCTACAGAAAAAAGGTGCTGGGTTTCAGGGAAGTTTTCTCTAGGGTATGAACGATTCAAAACATTGCTAAAGAGTAAACTATCTCTCTCAACCCTGACCAGTAGGTTTCCACTCTGGCCCTGGAAGAGAAAAGATGCAATATGTTTAAGACTCGTCAGCATTCACAAATCGCCCATAGGTAGGTTTCCACTCCTATGTTTATTTTGCCCTCCCAAACTAGATCTGACACCGGATGAACACTTTCGTGTCACCTAGCATCTAGATCAGATTGTAGTTCATGACGCTACTCTCATGCAGTAAAAGTAAATTCAGAAGAAAAAGTTCTAAGATTCGGCTTCAATAGCTCATGGAATCCTCATCGAACATATATATACCCATCCAAAATCCCCTTGACCCAACAATAAAACTACTCAGACATGATGAACGAAATCAAAAACTTAGTATTAAAAAGTAGAGCAATAATCGAAATTGAAAAAAGAAAGAACAAGGGCTGAAGAGATAGATCTCTCTCTCCCTAAACCTAAAAACAAAAGCTTAAAGTAAAATTTCTTCTAAAGCATTTCGTCTCTCCTAAAAACGACCTAAACGATAAGTATTTATAGTCTCCAATGCTCTCTGGTGTCTAGGGTTCCAAAATTGAGGCTGAGAAAATGATTTCGGCTTCATAAATGGGCCTTCTAACTCGGAGTTGGCTGGCCGCGGTCGGGAAGTGTGTGGCAGCGGGGAATGGGTGCTTGGCCACGGTCTGGTAGCCTCTGACCGTGGTGACATGGCTGTTGGCCGCGGGTGGAAATGCTTGCCGGCTGGTTTACGGGACATCTTGCTCTTCGCGTATCTTTTTATTGAACCGTTGGATTGCCAAGCTGTAAAGTGTGCTGGGAAGCTGATAGTTCCATCTTTGAGATCTCCAAATTTGAGCTGGATCAGACGGTGAGAAGACCTTCAATCGGGGGTGAACTTCTGACGGTTTGACTCTGAGCTGAAAATCTGGTCTTCTATCCATTTTGTTAAGCTTTTCCCTAAGTTTTCTAAAAAGAGTCTTGGAACCACAAATACTAGAAAAACGTAATAAAAGCACTTGAAAGCAATAAAAAACATAGAAAAAGTATTTCAAAACGATCCATAAAAGTGGTCAAAATACGGTGTTATCAACTCCCCCAGACTTAAACCTTTGTTTGTCCCCTAACAAAGCAAAAGTCTAAACTGGTTAAGTGAAAACAAAAATAGGAAATGCACAAATCTCAGAGATATGAACTTCTAAACTAGGACCAAATATCGTGCATCAATCCACAACTTAGTCTAGAAAATTCTCACCTAGACACAAAAAATACTAGTCCACTTTTTCCGTCATGCAAAACTTAAATAATCTAAATCTTGATTCCAGTCAACTGGCTATCTACATTCATTAAATGCAATAGTGAATTCTCATTAAAGACATTGTCCAGGGTAAACGGTGTTTGGCATTAAATGACTGTTTAAGTGGTGGAGTTAAAGTGTTTCAGGTTACCTGA